TGGTCTGACCCTGTCGCCATGGCTGGATGAACTGACTGGAATGCTTCCGTCATCTCCCCGGAAGGGTCAACCCCCGAAACTGCCCGAGTCTCAGAACCTTTTAAACCCTGCCCCGACCCCGAGGTCCTCAGATGCTTCAGAGCCGGAAGCAGGGCGAAAGGGGGGGGGAGGCCAGAATGGGGAAGAACTAAGGGGAAAGAACTAAGAGGTGCGGATTGAACCAAGGCCGAAGCGACCAAAACTCCCAAATACAGGTCCCTATAAGCAAAATGGGGCAGCCTCGGGGTTTCTGGGGTAGCACGTTGCAGCAACCAAAATCTAGCATGCAATGCCTGATCTGCCTGCACCCTGATAAAAGTCATCAGTGGACTGAGTGAATTGAGTCACAAACAAGCAACAAATCTCACAGGAGTTTCCCAGGGGCCCTTAGACTGGTATCGTTAAGGGTAAGCCCAGGCAGGGTACTGCGAACCGGCACCCAAGTCTACCAATCAAACCACTAAAAGCTGAACCCCCGGGACGTGTTCATTAACGGGGGTCTAGCAGGGGGTACCACCCAGAAACACACATGTATCAAACCTAATATAGAAAGCGGGCAACGAACCAAAGGCAGACTCCCCCACCAGACAGGAAAACAAAAAAGAAAATCCTGCAAGAGGACAACATACCCAGGTGAAACAGATCCGGCTGCTATAACATGTGATAACTAGCTGTGTAGTACCCCACCCCACTACCAGTGCAAACTACCCCTTACCCTAAGGTAAACAAGGGAATAGTAAATCCCCAGCACACTCAGGGTGGTCAATTACCGAGTAGCAAAAGACCAACAGAGGTTGACCCCAAGGTGACTTACGGAAGATAACCCCAAGCCCCAAGGGCGGTATTTACAGGGCACTTAGGGAAGGGAACCCTAACCGCATGCAGCCCGAGTACCTGTGAAGATTACTCCCAGCTCACGCACCACCCTGAAGACAGCACTAAACACAAGGCACAGCACTAAAACAAGAAACAGGAGCTAGAGTCACACGACCAAGCCTCAAACACATCAGCCAAGAACTGGGATGTGGGTAGCCGGCGAGGGGGGTCTGGGGTCCCCCCTTCCCTCTCCCCCCTCCTGGGGAGGGGGAAGCTGCGCAGACGGCAGCTCGGCACATGGTGACGTCATGCTTGTTTGCTTTTTTTCTTTGGGGAGTTCTGTCCACTTGTTTGACTTTTAGTGGTAGTTTCAAACAGAATAGGGGTTTGTTTTGGGATGCTTACCTTTCTGGGTGCCTGACCCGGTCGATGGCAATTAGACATAGAATGCTCCAAATCACATGTGTATTTCTATAGGTCATTGCTCCTGGTGCCTCTCTGAAGGGGCCTGGTTCTGCCTTGTGGTCCCCGGTAGGCCTAAAAACTCCATTCACGCTGACTGATGCCCAAGTCTAATAGTTCCATATCAGCCTGGATAAGCTCTGGGGAACCGTAGGGGCTCCCCCCCAGAAACAAGTCTACTCCTTACTATATTCTTCATATAAAGAACTAATTTAATTTCTGAAATATGTTCGACATAGGTGTTCAGAGACCATAAATATATCTTGTATAAATATTATAATACCTGTACTAAAGTGTAATAATACAGTAACCTATTTTAATGCTGCTAGTTGCATTAAAATTTTCCATTTACATTTATCACTTGGCTGTTAAGACCATAAATAAGCGAAAGACTCCTTTGTACAGTATTTCCATACAACAGTGCATCCATAGTAAAGTACAAATTAGTGCATTTTATTACTACAGTATTTAGAGAATATATTTATACACTGGGCCTAGTCATTATAATGTGTTTATCCTTCTTATTTAAATCATCTGGATACTTATCTATGATTATTAAGGTTCCATTAGTAGTCTTTGGGTCACCTGACAAACGAACTTGTCCTAAACAGAGATCATTCTCAAGTTGTAACTTATTATTATTTTATACTGGTTTATTACATTTATCTGGTTTTATTCTAATGCTACTGATTTTCTCAGTGGTTGAGAAACTGCATAAGGCAGGAATTTTCCTGCTCTAAATACATTTTGATTTCAGTTGTGCAGTTTAATTTTTTCGCCATGGCACAAAAAGATTTGACTGCTAATCATTCTCTCAAAGACATTAATGTATTATGTTAGTATAAGTGGGCTTAAACTTTTTGCCATTGTTTCATTGTGGAGTGGGGACAAGATCTAGTAAATCAAGCACCTCTGGTATCTTATCAATACATACTGAAGTTTTAAATGATCACCGAGTGCACATGCTGCTGGTACATTGCATGTCTTCATAATTATGCCACTCCAAGAATCAAGACTCAGGGTTCAGTGCATAGCCATGATGTCAGTTTTGAAGTGTGCTGTGTTTGCATTAATAATATTACTGTATATTGTTCAAGAAGATTATGTTATTCATGTTGTCTATTGTTGTGCTCAACACAGCTACATACTGCTCTTTCAAAAACTCACAATTTTCTTTGTCATTTATCTTATCTCTGGAATGGCTTCTCATTCTACAGTATTTGTGTTTCTTCACCTTAGTTTCTGCTCTATTTCTATAATCTATATAATCTATTTTTGTTTATTAATTTTTTTTAAATACAGTAGTAAAAAAACAAAATGGTGTGGTTGTAATAAATGTAATCCATCTATCCATGCATGAACTTGTTAATCTGAAACCAAACAAGCCAATACCCTAAGGTTCCCTTAAATTTGATCTCAACTTGTAAATCATTTTGCTAATATGAGCATCGAGAAACACAAGAAGCTTCTGCATAATTAGCACTGACAAATCAGGAATTCCTGTATTTGTTCTGACCTTTCCATTTGACAATAGAGTAAATATTAACCTTCGAACTGTGGCTATGATGAATAGCTTGCCTCTTTACATTAAAAAGTAATTAACTTATTAGGCGATAGATTTCCATGAAAAAGTTTCAGAAAAACAACTAGAGTACTGTAAAAGGTTGCAATGTGCCCAAGTCCAAGGTGGTGGTTGTGGTGATGGAAGCCCATTGGAACTAATAACCATGCACACCACAACCACTCTTGGACTAATTTACTAATTTGTTAAATTGTTCTCTCTCACTATCTGAACATTAATAAATATCTCATTAATTTATACAAATTAGTAAGTGTTCAATAGACAAATATATGCCATGATAGTTTATATCTACATTAGTGACATTGGCCAGCCGTATGACTGAGAGGATGGTTTAGGGTTGTACTGAGACCCCTCCCCCAGAATTTTTTGGTATGAATGGTAGGCCATCATTAGAGCCATCTATTAAGCATAAGATCTATAGACAAATATAAACACACAGACAAATGTGTGTATAAAAATACACACACATTACTGTATATGCATTTATATAATAAACACTTGAGAGAATTTGTGTTAAGTTTGTTAAATATTTGGTAAATACAATACAGTAGAGGACTGTATTTTTAAAGAACATAACCATTTCAAGAAACTAGAAGGCACCTTTAATTTATTAATTGCTTATGGATGTGCCTAGGGGCTGGAGCCCCTAAGGAATAGTACTGTAGTTATATTTACCGTCACAATCCTTATAAATATAGCAGCAATTACCACCAGAAAAAAAATCTGGAAATTTCCAAGTGCAAGCTAATTAATCTTTACAGTAAATGTGGTCAATACTGCACAGATGCTGCTTGATATAAGATGAGCACTGGATTCCTGTTTATACTACATGAATTTTAAGCAACTTTGAAAACTGCAATACTTTTACTAATATTGAATAAGGTTTATAATGCAAATTAATAATAATGGAAATTATCCTGTCAAAATTAACTGGCAACTGACCCTTGCATTTCCACATTTTGTGAATTTGCAAAGCTGTCTGATTTAAATGCAGTATACAGTATTTGTTTTCTTTATACACTGTAGTACAAATTACTGTCTACAGGGGGAGGGGAGGTTCTTTGTTTACCTGCACTAAAATGGTTAATGCAACAGGCTTATAGAAAGGCACCTCTAAATTACCTTATAGTAACAATGCTTAAAAAATTTCCTTTTATCAGTCAATTTTCACTTAGACTGGGATGTCATCAACTCGACTGCTTTATTGTTGTGTTGTAATTCCAAGTCCTATTATTATACTGTACTTATTTCTCTCTCTAAATGAAAGATTATTTTTTTGTTCAGTGCCCAGCATATTTCAATTCCTAGCCTGATATTTCTTTGTCAAATCTTAGTGTTTAATTAATCATTTAGTTTATTTACCTTAGAGTACAAAATTTAGGTTCTATTTTAATGTTTATTCATTCCTCCTCTCGGTGTATTTATTTATTCAACTCCAGCTTGCTTAAACTTGTGATAGGATTATAGGTACTGAATAGCAATTCCTTCACTGATCCAAGCTTTTCTTTCTTCTCAATTACATCACAGCCTCTGTTATTGTTACAAAGATTCTGTGCATGTTATTTCCCTGAACTTCTTGATTTTGTTTGGCATTATGACATTTTTGTAATTGTACACATTTCCCTTTGTGTTTATGTGCATGTTTAATGTACTGTTATATGCATATACAAATACTGTACACAATACAAAACATAATAAACTACAACAGGTAAATACAAGTATTCCAAAATAGACAACTACAAACTGATAGGTGGGGGGAAAACATTAATTGCAATATACACTAACTTTTCTTTTAAATAGAACAGCACATAACAGGAACAGTTCCAAATTCTTACTATAATACAGAGTAAGCAAATATATAGCCTTTTGATTCAGCATGCTGTAGAAACAACTGGTAGCCTAAATAAACAATACTTAATTTTTCAAGCATCACAAATATGACAAATCTAATTTGTACTTTATTATCAATGGTACTAGGTATCTACTATTAATGAGCATGATCAGAAATTGAGTGGGAGATACTGTATATGAATGAACGTCATGCTCTACACATAGCAAGTAACTTAGAGACATAACACTTAAAAGCGTTTTGAAAACTTACACTATAGCTACTATCCGTATTGTTGTCTTTTCTCATGATGACTTGGACTGTGTTGTCCTGACCGTCGCCTTCACTGCTGGATGCTGACACTGTGTCCCCTACACCTTGACCCTCCGATGCCTAAGATACCCAAAGACCAACATGAACTACAAGACTTTCAAGTTTCAACATTCAAAGCAAATATAATTCTAAATATATATACTGAAAGAAAGCTCAGTCAAAATAAAGTGTAATTATATTAAGGACAATTACACATGTAGATGTATCAATATTGTCGACACACTCACCTTCACATACTGTACTAACACACACACACACACCAAAGTGTCAGGAGCTGGGAAGCTTGTGAAATGGTACATAAAGACAAAGCAACAAAATCATTAAAGGAAGGGGGTGTAAAGAACAAAGGGAAGGGGAACATTCCTGAAAATAGTATATACCAATATAGATAGAGTGAGATCGAAAATATTGGAGTTGAAGGATATAATTCAGCTCAAGGTCCCAGATATTGTCGCATTAACAGAGACTAAACTTGAAAAAATTATTTTAAATGAAGTCGTGTTCCCAAGGGGATACTTAATTTGGAGACGTGACAGGAAAACTAGGAAAGGGGGGAGGAGTGGCTGTGCTGGTGAAAGAACACCTGAAGGTAAGAGAATTAATGTTTGAAAATCCTCGAGATATTGACATAATGGCATTGCAGCTCTGTAATCAAGATAAGCTGATAATTTTAAATGCCTATAACCAACCAGCAAGCAACACATGGACAAAGGAAGAACTGGATGACAAACAAGAAGGTCTCATAATGGTCATGAGAGAGATTATGGTAAGAGCTGACAAAGATAAATCCTGATTGTTGGTGCTGGGGGACTTTAACTTTAAGGTAATAGACTGGAAGGCCTACGAGGCAAGAACAGAGGACATACGGACAGGCAGATTTGTAAACCTCATCTTGGAGACATTCATGTATCAACACGTCAAGCAGGCCACAAGAATGAGGGATGGGGATGTTCCGTCAGTACTGGATCTAGTATTGACCAGGAAAGTGAACAGGAAATGTGTGAAACATTAAATGAAAAGTTCCAAAGTGTGTTTGTACAAAATGAGATCTTCAGAGAACCAGACAATAAAAATTCCACAGAACAACATTGAGCGTATAGAGGTGTTTAGAGATGAAGTGGAAAATATGCTAAAGGAGCTAAGTAAGAATAAAGCAGTTGGCCCAGATGGAGTTTCAACATGGGTTCTGAGAGAATGTGCATCTGAGCTCAGCATTCCACTTCACCTGATCTTTCAGGCATCCCTGTGTACAGGAGTCGTAGCAGATGTGTGGAAACAGGCTAACATAGTTCCAATCTACAAAAGTGGCAGCAGGGAAGACCCCCCCTCAATTATAGGCCTATATCATTGACAAGTGTAATAGTGAAAGTATTGGAAAAACTATTCAAAACTAAGTGGGTAGAACACCTGGAGAGAAATAATATAATATCAGAAAAGACAGTATGGTTTTCAATCTGGAAGATCCTGTGTATTTGAATTTACTCAGTTTCTATGACCGAGCCACAGAGATTTTACAGGAAAGAGATGGTTGGGTTGACTGCATCTATCTGGACCTAAAAAGGCTTTCAACAGAGTTCCACAAACGAGGTTGTTCTGGAAACTGGAAAATATTGGAGGGGTGACAGGTAAGCTTCTAACATGGATGAAAAATTTTCTGACATAGAAAAATGAGGGCAGTAATCAGAGGCAATATATCGGAATGGAGAAATGTCACAAGTGGAGTACCATAGGGTTCAGTTCTTGCACCAGTGATGTTTATTGTGTACATAAATGATCTACCAGTTGGTATACAGAATTATATGAACATGTTTGCTGATGATGCTAAGATAATAGGAAGGATAAGAAATTTAGATGATTGTCATGCCCTTCAAGAAGACCTGGACAAAATAAGTAGATGGAGCACCACTTGGCAAATGGAATTTAATGTTAATAAATGTCATGTTATGGAATGTGGAATAGGAGAACATAGACCCACACACAACCTATATATTATGTGAGAAATCTTTAAAGAATTCTGATAAAGAAAGAGATCTAGGGGTGGTTCTAGATAGAAAACTATCACCTGAGGACCACATAAAGAATATTGTGCAAGGAGCCTATGCTATGCTTTCTAACTTCAGAATTGCATTTAAATACATGGATGGCGATATACTAAAGAAATTGTTCATTACTTTTGTTAGGCCAAAGCTAGAATATGCAGCTGTTGTGTGGTGCCCATATCTTAAGAAGCACATCAACAAACTGGAAAAGGTGCAAAGACATGCTACTAAGTGGCTCCCAGAACTGAAGGGTAAGAGCTACAAGGAGAGGTTAGAAGCATTAAACATGCCAAAACTAGAAGACAGAAGAAAAAGAGGTGATATGATCACTACATACAAAATAGTAACAGGAATTGATAAAATCGACAGGGAAGATTTCCTGAGACCTGGCACTTCAAGAACAAGAGGTCATAGATTTAAACTAGCTAAACGCAGATGCCGAAGATATATAAGAAAATTCACCTTCGCAAATAGAGTGGTAGACGGTTAGAACAAGTTAAGTGAGAAGGTGGTGGAGGCCAAGACCGTCAGTAGTTTCAAAGCGTTATATGACAAAGAGTGCTGGGAAGACGGGACACCACGAGTGTAGCTCTCATCCTGTAACTACACTTAGGTAATTACACTTAGGTAATTACACACTGTGCAATTTCCCCAAAATAGTTCAAGTGAAAATGATCTTCATATATTAAAGTACTGTTATAACTTGTGCAATAACATGAGAGACTATCAATGAAGAGTTGTACATGCTGGTTTACCTGACATTACTGAAGCAAATGCAACTCATTAGATGCAAGAATGTGTAGAATGCATGAGGATTACCAAATTAAGTTTACAAAGCTTCAAAGTAGCAAAGTAGAGGGTAAGGAAGTAGATTAAAAATAAGATATAAAAGGATACCAAAATGGTAGAGAATGGGAAGACAGCAATCACCGATATCATCAAATGGTACTAAAGAATAATCAAGTTCCACACTTCATACCACTAAATGAATTACAGTATATCACTAAATGGTAATACAGTGCAGTACAGAACATCACCACTAGTAACAGTGTAGTACAGATCACCACCACTAGTAATACAGTGCAGTAAAGACCATCACCACTAGGAATACAGTATAGTAAAGATCACCACCACTAGGAATACAGTGCAGTAAAGACCATCACCACTAAGAATACAGTGCAGTAAAGACCATCACCACTAGGAATACAGGAATACAGTGTAGTAAAGAGCATCGCCACTACTAGTACTGTAGTGCAGTAAGTTTATATTTAACACCAAATGCAGTTCAGAAAAAGTCAAAAGAAAGAACAAAACTGCCTACCAAAAGGCACATGATATGCATCTCTACATTTCCAGTGATATTATTCTCATCAACTAGCAAAGCAGACGGCTCCACAAACTATTGAGAAATTATAGATTACTATGCTTATTATTTTTAGGTAGTCTGAAGAAAGAAATTAACAGCAATGAGATAAAGATGCCCATATACAAAATCAGTCAATATTAGCAAAAGCAGCCACAGGAATACTGTATCCCTCTCGGCTTTTCTTATGAGAAACTTCAGGTCCACTTTGCACGAGTTCTCAATAGATTTTTAAAAATTTATAATTTTCAAATTTTTCACAATTACTGCAAATATATATATCGCACAAAAAGTCGTGAAAAATATAGTACTGTACAATATTAAATTTTACAAATTCTCTAAAATACAAAAATCTAACGAGAGAACATTATATAATTAGGAGAAACCTCTTGAAAAAGTGCAGATGATAAAATGCTATCAACAAATTATAAACTATCTGACATGATAAAAGGCATCTAGGGTTTTTATAGGAGCTTCGTTAAAAATTTTAATGTATCAGTAGTCCCGATATCTTCCCAACAAATGTGTGTGTAAAATCAGGTACAGTATTACAGGCAGATCTCTTTAAAATGTGCCATAGTATAATTACACTTCTTGACTAGTTTGTCTAACTTTTAACTCTATTATTGAATTTCAGAGGTATTTATAATTTAACTAGGGTGTGTAAATTTATCAGCAATGTCAAATTTGCAAGGTCTAACTAAACAACTTGATGGGATGTCACAGGCAAAGGTGATATAATTTTGTATTAGGTCCAAATGCGTTATATTACAAACATGTGCTAATATATTTGTTGTATTAAAAACCAGCGTTGAAAAACGAGGTCATTCATAATGAGAATGTGATGTCTCACTACAGACAAGTGTTAAAATGTAGGGAAAAACAAGTATCTATAGAAAGATTCTTAGTAAAACAAGCAAGCAGTGAGCCACAACCAGGTCCTAATGGTATGCCTGCAAAATGTAAGAGAGAGAGAGTACCCCACAAATGTTATCACTGCTGTTATAATGGAAGGGGACTCCCCTTCTAAACACTAATACCTCTCCTCCTGCCCCTTTCCTCACTGTCTTCCATATGCCAACAAGAGTCTTTCATAAAGATACGGTACCTAAGAGTATTATTCTGTATAAAATGTATTTTTTAGTTAATATTTTTGGGTGTGGAACGGATTCATTCAATTTACATTACAGTGGTACCTCGGAATACGAGTGTCCCTGAATACGACTTTTTCGGAATACGAGCAGGATTTGCTCGGAAAATGTGCCTCGGAAGGCGAGGGTTACCTCGGAACACGAGTTTGTTGATACGTGTACAGGTCGACTAGCGCATGGTGGCACGGCAATCGCGCCTCAGTTTACCAGTGTCTCGCGCCCAGTGACTATCCCACCTGAATTCTTCACAAGGATTTACAGTTTTTTGTCGTTTTTTTGGCCATTTGAGCATAAAAGTTGTCATTATATATATCGCCATGGGTCTCAAGAAAGCCATTGGTAAGGCTCAACCTAAGAAAATAGCTGTGAGTAGAGGCAGTAGAGGATGTCCCTTCTTGATTAAGAAAATGTGTGAAGTATGGGAAGAACTGCAAAGTTTTGTTGATAAAACTCGCCCAGATAAAGCTGTAGCAGGCCGTTGCATTGACCTTTTAAATGACAATGTGA